AAAAGCTTCCCTTGGGGAATCCTCCCCCCTGAGTGAGGTACTGAACCACAGGCTTGCATCTAGAAAAAATGTTTTAGGACACAGCACCTGTGCTTGATTCTGGCACTCAGAAAATCTGTGGCTACATCCCCTGAAGCTATATGGTAAATGACCAATAGATGGCACTTGGCTAGATATTGTCCCAGCATCATTCCTGCATTTCTTGGACAGCCTTTAACTCCAGGCATGTGGAGGGAGTCTTGGGGATCTCTGGGAACTGACTAGAATTGCATGCTACAGAAATTTACAAATCACAGGCTTAAGCCCCCTCTCACTCGTTTTATGCTGGCATCACTCCACTGACTTCAACAGATTTTTTTTCTTTGACAATGACAGAAGTGGAAGGAGAGCCACATCCTTGGATATAGTTTGCCATGCTGGCACGAATCACCAATTCCAAAAGAAATTCAGCAGTGGCTAGTTACTGATATGCTGCTATCTACCCAACTATGCAGTACTACACAGGAGAAAAAAAAAAATCTTTGTTCAAGGGATTATTATTTTGTGCCCTGAAACATGGTCTATAATTACCCCAAATTAGTCCTCAGAACAGCAAGTACCTCTCTTTCCTGCAATTTTGGAAATGGGAGAGCAGGCGTCACTAGTGTTACTGCTCTTAATTCAGTCTCACTAGGCACTGAGATGGGTTTTTGTGTTTTCTGCAGCCTTTCCTGAGCTAACTCCTCCTAAATAGTGTCATCTCTTTGGATCCCCTGAGTCCATTCCAGATTCAGGAAATTCAGGGGAAGTTAAGTGCATCCGGCATACGAAAGAAAGCCCTAGTGAGATCAGCCTCTATACAACTGTGTAACTCTGAGCTAGAGTTCTCTACATATGTAAGGATTCTGGACTAGTCGAGAGACAGAGGTCAACATCCTAAGTGAGCAACATGCAGAGTGAACCAGTCTTGGTATGCAATAATTAATTGTGGAGGCTGGAAGCTAGCACAGCTCAAGCTGCCCTGCTGCACTTAGCTACTCAGAACGAAATAAGGCAGGAAAATATGAGTTTTCTTCTGACATTCAGAACCTGTAAGTTTGATTTTCCTCATGCTCCAGCTTCAGTCGGGCACAACTCCACTAAATTCAAAGATATGACTTTCATTTTATGTTGGTGTAAGCAAAGGGGAGTTAGGGAATAGTTTCCGAAGCTTCATTAGAATCGAGCATGCTTGTGACTACCCCTAAGTGCAGACTGTGGATGGTACTATGTGTTGTGTTTGACTGTAGGATCAGCAGAAGGATCTTCCTTCTGAGGAAGATGAACTTCCTATAGCTTCTTCCAGTTCCAAAGGGACAAGATGAGATTCCTTGCCTCTCCTTAAATAGATGCCTTATACAAAGCCCACATGTTGAATCCAGGGTCCAACTGCAGGGAAAAGGAAGACCGCACACAGTGACTGTATTTCAGATTTTGGAGATCTTCTCTGACTACTACCACAGAAAGGCTGGTTCTCCGGTGGCATGTATAATATTTAGGAGTTAAGTTGTAATATGTGCCACTTTCTGCATACGTTAGACAAATGGCAGAGAAAACAGTTCCATGGTCCTCTTCTGCTGGGGCAGAAAACAGTCCTTGCAAAAGGATACTCCAAAGCCAAGCTCTTCCATTGCTGACAGTTAGCAAAATTGGGAGTAGATGCAACTGGAGTTTCTAAAGCCACAGTATTTCACTGACTTTCACTTGAGGCAATCTTAAGTCAAAATGTTCCTCACTGCTTTTATGGGCAACCTTGGGCTTGCACCTTCTGATCTCACGCACTTTTCTCAACAAGTTCCTTCCACTCTCATGCCTGCTCAAAGAATGGCCCGTTCTGCTACTCTGTAGCTACTGAGGTGAAAG